CACTCGCAAGCCGCCGCGCGCCGGGCTGGGCCGAGCGCGCAGGCGCAGTCGGGGGAAGGCCGCGTGGGGAAGGCGGCGCTTGTCCAGGGGGGTTCACGGCGGGATATTCCGGGGCGGCGAGAGCGGTACGGAGTGGAGGGCGGGGTGCAGCGGCGCGCGGAGGCCCCTCTGGCTGGTTTCTCCCGCTCTTCCTTTCCTCTCTGCAGTGGGGGAGGCAGGCGCACTCCCCTCGGGGACAGAGAGGAGAAGCCGGAGTGTGGGGGGGTGAGGGGAGGGCCCCGGGCCTGACGGGCCTTGGCTGGAGGAGTCCCGGCCTGAGCGGGGTCCGGCCTGGACGGCAGCCCCCTCCCGCGCTCTCGGGGCTGCGGGGTCCCCGAAGCTCACCTGCCTTTTCCGGGTCGTGGAGCCGATCCGGGGACCAGCCCGGGTGTCTATCTGTCCTCCCTCTCCTTTCCCACTTGGTGTGGACATGAGTTTCGTAAGACGATTGTGTGGTGTGGGGATCGAGGTCTGGCCTTCGCTGCTGCCATGCGGCCCAGTGCCCGTCCCCCCGCGTCTGTACCCCCCCCCGGCTCCCCGCTGCCCCAGCCTCCACCTGGCTGGAGACCACGCCCACCACGGAGTGGTGACCCACACCTGCTGGTCAGTTTGGGATGCCTGCTAGATAGGGCCAAAAGGGAAGGCTTGCTTTCCGCAGTGGGCAGCAAGCGGACTTTGCCACCCTGAGGAATTAAGTTGGACTGAATTTATAAAGAAATTACCGGGGCCTAGGCAGGGTCTCCTTGGGTTCCCTGGCAATATGGAAGGCCCTTGAACCCCTGGCAGTGACTGCTGAACAGAAGGGCACTGTCTGCCTTGGGGGTGATTCCTTGTAGTTGGTTAATATCTCTGCTACCTACTGGCTTTTCACTCACTCATCAGTAGCTTGTGGAATGCAACTGGATTCTTTATGGCAGTTTTTTTCAAACTGAACCTTACTGGTGAGTTGGAAATCACCATCATAGATTTTTTGAGACATATATGTATGTGTATATATATATATATACACACAACATATGTATATATACATATGTAATATACATATATGCATATATATATATTCTAGGCTTGTCTTGAATTCTTAATCCTCCTGCCTTGATCTTCCTTGTGCTGGAATTACAAGCGTGAACCACTATTCTCAGCTAGAGACATCTTAAACATAAAAAGTACTAGAAAATATCAGAGGAGGTTGCACGTAGAGTAAGTACACTTCCTTTGATGGGGCTGGTGTTTGAACTTAGGGCATCACACTTGCAAAGCAGGTTCTCTGAAGCCACAGGTACTTTTTACTTTGAGTATTTTTAAGCTAGGATTTTGTGTTTTGCCAGGGCAGGCCTGGACTTCGTGTAGCAGACATGGCAGGCATATGCAACAGTGCCCAGCTTTTTTTTGGGGGGGGAGGGGATTGAGATGAGAGGAATGCTCATATACTCTGCCTAGGCTGTCCTCCAAACATGATTCTCCTGATCTCAGCATCCAAGAAGCCAGGATTACAGATGTGAACCACTGTACTAATCTACATGTGTTTCTTGACACATGTAAGTGTATTGGGAATTGTACAGTGCATTTCTGCATGTCACAGAAGTTTGAAAAGCCCTGTTCTTTTGTACCTTTTGTCCCTTGCCCCAAGCCCACATTTTTGGTCAGTTCAAATTGTCCATAAAGATGTAGTTAGGATGGCAGGAATCCACACTAAAGAACAGAGTGGGCCGAAGTGAAGCCTTTTTTTATAACCAAAACTAGTAGTAGGAAATGTGGGGAGAAAAGGAGAGCAGCATGGGTCTGTCTTCAGGGAGGTTACAAAAAATGGTTCATTCTTCACTCGCTGCCAACGACTAAAAGCAGGGATCTCACTGAGGGTGGTAAGGCTTTTTTTAGGCAAGGCATCTTCTGTGGATGTTTATTTCTGAAGGAAGTTTTTATATAGTGTGATTTTTGTGGTTATAAAACCAGTATGTCCCATTGCTTACATTGCACAATAAAACTAGTGATGGATACCTAGAAAATGGAAATGGAAAAGTATTGGTTACCTGGAGTTTGGGTCTCTGAGGCTATTTATTTATTTATTTACTTGCCAGCCTTGGACTTGAACTCAGAGCCTGGGTACTGTCCTTGAACTTCTTTTGCTCAAGGCTAGCACTCTACCACTTGAGCCACAGAGCCACTTCTGGCTTTTTCTGTTTATGTGGTACTGAGGAATCGAACCCAGGGCTTCATGCATGCTAGGCAAGCACTCTACCACTAAACCACATTCCCAGTCCTAGAACGCTTTTTCTTTTTTTTTTGGTTGGTCATAGGGCTTGAACTCTGGGCTTGGGCGCTGTCCCTCAGTTCTTCAGCTCAAGGCAAGTGCTCTACTGCTTGAGCCACAGTGCCCCTTCCGGTTTTCTAGTGAGTGATTTATTGGAGGTAAGAGTCTCACGGACTTTCCTGCCTGGGCTGGCTCTTAATTGAGATTGTCAGATCTCAGCCTCCTGAGTAGCTAGGATTACAGGCGTGAGCCACTGGTGCCTGGCTTAGAAGGCTTTTCTTAACTATAATTAGTTTCTAAAATAATGTAGTGAATCTGAACATCTGGTGGCTGCAGTGTTTCTGCCTACGTGGGCTCACCACCTACTCACAACCTTCCTTGAGGACTAAGTGGACCACTGAGACTTCCCAGACAGGAGAGGAAGCATTTCAGCAAGCCGACAGTGAAAACTGAATCAAGTATACTGTGGAATCAAGTGTTCTGTGGAAAGAACAGAGATTGAAATGTTCTGGAATCCTCTCTCCAGTCCTATCTGTCAAACTCCAAACATGGATTCTACTCAGCTCTTGGAATCTTTAGATGATCCAATGTCTTTTAAAACCAATCTTTTAAAAAATTGTTATTTTTTTTTTTTATTTGTGCCAGTCCTGGGGCTGAGCTCAGGGCCTGGGTATTGCTCCTGAGCTTTTGTGCTCGAAGCTAGTGCTCTACCATTTGAGACATAGATCTGGGTCTTTTTTTTGGTGGTTAATGGGAGATAAGAGTCTCATGGAGGGGCTAGGAAAGTGGCTCAGTGGTAGAGCGCTTGCCTTGCATGCATGAGGCCCTGGGTTTGGTTCCTTAGCACCACATAAGCAGAAAAAACCAGAAGTGGCGCTGTGGCTCAAATGGAAGAGTGCTAACCTTGAGCTAAAGAGCTGAGGGACAGCGCCCAGGCCCAGAGTTCAAGTCCCACGACCAACCAAAAAAAAAAAAGTGGTATGGACTGGGGGAAGTTACCCACACCGCGTGGGTGCATTTGCCTCAGTGATGTGTGCAAGTAACTGAAGCTGCATATTAGCCATGCTGGTGTTACACAGGGAGTGAGGGAAACAGCCTTGGGCTCTGATCTGGATTCCATTCTAACCTGGGACAAATCTGCAGATGTCCTAATGTTGTGGTTTGGATGAAGTGTCTCAGAAAGAGGCTCAAGGCAAGTCTTGGTCCCTAGTGGGTGGTGCTCTTTTGGGAAGTTCTGGAAACTAGAAGGTGAGACTTAGCTGGAGGAAGTAGTTAACTGGGAGCATGTCCTTGGAGGAGTTTTGTTGCCTCCTTCCTGTCTGTCTGTGTCTCTCTACTTCTGTCTGGGAACCTTTTCTGTACGTGTTCCAGCCGCCATGATGCTTTGCCCAAGTGCATGGGGGAAAGGGGCCATGGATGGAATGTGCTGGAACCATGAGCCAGTGGTTGGTTCACGTGTTTTGCCACAGAGATAGAGGTGCTGACTGGTTTCTCCATCCGTAACACCCTACTTCCTATACTGTGCCCTCAGTCCTGTTCTAAGTCCTTAGCAGATCTTACACACTGTTGGTTCTTCTTTGTCTCCATTGGCTCAGGAATGAAACCACTGAAGAAAGTATGAGGATACTTTTATTTATGTATTTTGTCCATCATGGGCCTGGGTGTTGTCCCTGAGGCTACTACGAACCATACTACCACTTGTGGTTTTCTGGTGGTCTATTGGAGAGAAGAGTCTTACAGGTTTTCCTGGCTTTGAACCACGATCCTCAGATCTCAGCCTCCTGAATAGCTAGGGTTAAAGGAGTGAGCCACCAGCACCTGGCTTTAAGAACCCTTTTAGACTGGGTGACCCCTGCTAGGATATGGAAAGAATTGAATGTACATAATGTGATCTCTCTCTTTTTTTTTTTAAATGTGTGTATGTGTGTGCATATGTGCTGGTCTTAGGGCTGGAACTCCAGGTCTGGGTGCTGTTCCTGAGTTGTTCTGCTCAAGACTAGTGTTCTGCCACTTGAGCCACAGCTCTATTTCTGGCTTTTTCTGTTTATGTGGTACTGAGCACTCAAACCCAGAGCTTCATGCTAGGCAAGCACTCTACCACTAAGCCACATTCCCAGCCCCATGAGTATATTTCTTTTTGGACACTATCACCCCTTCCCTCAGGTTGGGACTTTGTGTTAGGGCTGTGCTTTTCCCACTTTTTTTTTTTTTTCTGTCAGTTGTGAGGCTTGAACTCTGGGCCTGGGCGCTGTCCCTCAGCTCTTCAGTTCATGGCGAATGCTCTACCACTTGAGCCACAGCACCACTTTCCGTTTTCTAGTGTTTTATTGGACATAAGAGTCTCATGGACATTTCCTGCCCGGGCTGCCTTTGAAACTCGATCTTCAGATCTCAGCCTCCTGAGTAGCTAGGATTACAAGCATGAGCCACCAGCGCCCAGTGCTTTTCCCACTTTTATGAAAAACATTACAGGCTTTCACTAACTGTCATTTCTGTGGGTTTTGCATTTGATTTCTTTTTTTTTTTTTGGGTCTG